GCGTTGGCAATACCTCTTTGGAAGAGGTATTCATGAAAATGGGTGCCGATGTAACAGTCGATCGCAGTGAGGAGGAACTGGCGGATAGGTTAAAAGGAGGTGCTGTACCCAATAATGTTGACAGCGAATCAATGAAATGTAAGCAGTGCTTGAGCTTATACTCTGGCTACATTTGACCATTTTCTGATAAGCTCAATTAACTGTTTGCAGCGGATGCCGCCCTCGCGAACAATACTCAACTGTTGCGCGGCATGAAGCTGGTGTCGAACCAATGGCATGCAATGATCTTCAAGAAGGCTATCTATTCGTATCGCAAATTTTTTTTGTTTATCTTACAAAACTTTATGGCCATATTCTTTGTGGTTCTGACAATAATGATCGCACGTTCGCGTGGTATCAGCCGTGACCTGCCGTCGATAAACATAGGCCTGACACAGTATCCCGTTGCGGTGACTGTCATGGAACGCGACCAAGAGTTGAATGCGAACTCGTTAAATAATCGCATCGCCAAAAAATACGAAGAGCTGGCACAGTCATTTGGCCCAGATTATACATACGAGAGCACGGGCGATAAATCCTTTACGAAGTACATACTGGACTTGAGCGAGACCCTGCAGGTTTGGATAAACGCACGATACCTGGCAGCCGCCACCTTTCAAAATGATAAAATAATCGCCTGGCTGAACAATCAGCCGCTGCACACGGCACCCCTCACAATTAACATGGTGCATAATGCGATTGCCCGGGAAGTGATCGGAGAGGATTCGAAAATCAGTGTTTCCAATTGGCCGCTGCCATACAAGACGGAAACACTGCTGCAGCAGTTGCAGATAGGCTCCAGTCTGGGCACACAGTTGGCCTCTAATATAGCCTTCAGCATGTGCTTTATTACCGCCCTGTACGCACTGTTTGTGATTAACGAGCGGCAATCACGGGCCAAACTGTTACAGTTCGTTTGCGGCGTCAAGGGTTGGATATTCTGGTTTTCACTGTTTCTCTGGGATTTCGCCACGCATTTATTTACGGTTGTGGTTATAATTGTCACCTTGGCCTGTTTCCAGGAAGCACATTTTAGCACATTCGACGAGCTGGGTCGCATCGCTTTCGTGCTAATCATCTTTACATTTTGCGTGCTGCCCTTTACCTACGCCTTCTCGTTATACTTTAAGGACGCATCGACAGGCTACGCACTCATCTCAATATTTAATAATTTGTTTGGCATAGCGGTATTCCTTACTTTCGTTCTACTCGCAAACTTTTACGCCGACTCAATTTTATATAAAATTCTGAATCGAATTTTTAATCTTTATCCACACTTCTCGCTTGCCATGTGTATCAACAAAATAAGCATGAATGCCGCCTCGCGATCTGCCTGCTCCAAGCTTAGCGGCCTGCCGCCCATTCTAATCTGTGAGATGGTGCCTAGTTGCTGCAGTGAGTAGACTTCGACAACAGAATTAGCTCATTATCGAATTTCCACTCGATCATTTTGCTATCTAACTCTCTGACCCTTTCTACAGGCCTGCCGGATTACTTTGCTTGGGAACATCCCGGAGTGTTAATCGAGATTCTTACCATGGTCTGTGTTGGTCTCATCATTTTCCTATTACTCGTCTTAGGCTCATATGGCATACACTTAAACTGCGGATTTTTAATGTAAGTATGTGCAAACAACAGCACATTAGTGGAGTGTGCACGACTAACAGCTACCCTGTACGCAAACATTTCAACTTAAACACCAGCTCTCCTTCTTCTACTTCGACTTTTCGCCCCCCATACTAAGGGTATATCATTCATGAATAACTTTGGTTTGACATATACAATCTTCAGGGCTTGATTACATCCGAAATCCAAAAAGACTCGCACTTAATAGAGACACATATACATTTGTGGTGTCCAGCTTGTTTCAAAGTCGATACTCATCGATATGGAGTAACATTTTTCAATTTACAATTATAAGTAGTATATTTTTGCTCAGCATCAACAACTGAGTCGGTCCAGCCATGTCCATGTCTGTCTGACCGTCCTGCTTAAAAAGAATTGTCCGTGCACACCAAGATTTTTATCCAAAGGGCACACGTCCGTGCCCGTGCTGGCCCGGGCCTCGAATATTAGGTCCCGATCCCCAAATCTATTAGAAGCTGCCAGTTTAATAAGTTACTTTTGACTTCAACCTGTTTTGCTTGTGTACATTTTAGGAGGAAACGTCATCCAGCCCCGCGTACTGACATGGACGACGATGTGCTGAAAGAGAAACTGCGCGTTGAGAACATGTCTCCCGAAGAGAAAGCCAGCAAGAATCTGGTTTTGGATAACTTGTCCAAGTATTATGGGCCCTTTCTTGCCGTCAATCAGGTGTCGCTTTGTGTGGAAGAGTAAGAAGTTATATTTCTATTGGGCTGTGGCAAAGATACTAATTTGTGCTCCATATTGTAGAAGCGAATGCTTTGGCCTGTTGGGTGTCAATGGTGCTGGCAAGACGACTACATTTAAAATGATGACAGGAGACGAGAAGATTTCCTTGGGCGCTGCGTACGTGCAGGGCCTGAATTTGAAGACAGATATGACCAACGTTTACCACAAGATTGGCTACTGTCCGCAGTTCGATGCGCTGTTAGATAATTTAACAGGCCGTGAAAATCTTAAAATATTCTGCCTGTTGCGCGGCGTGCGGCCGGTGAACATAAAAAATATTTCCGAGGATCTGGGCAAAACTTTTGGCTTTACCAAGCATATGGATAAAAAGACAAAGAACTACAGCGGCGGAAATAAGCGTAAACTGAGCGCGGCCATCGCAGTGATTGGCTCTCCAGCTATTATATATATGGATGAGCCCACCACGGGCATGGATCCAGCTGCACGACGTCACCTATGGAATATTGTGTGTCGCCTACGGGATGGTGGCAAATCAATCGTGCTCACATCTCACAGTATGGAGGAGTGCGAGGCACTATGCACACGACTGGCTGTTATGGTGAATGGCGAGCTCAAGTGCATTGGCTCCACGCAACATTTGAAAAACAAGTTCTCTAAAGGTCGTGTACTCAAACTGAAAGTCCGACGCAGTACAGCACCGCACAGTCAACTACAACCACCATACAGCGAGAGCACGCTAAAAATGCCTGTCTCAGATGATGATTTGAGGACACCGATTGCATACGAGAGCAGCAGTGCGGTGACGCCAACGGGCTACGATGGCAGGAGCAAAACATCATTGGGCCGTAACGACCACAATTTCAGGAACGGAGAAATCTCAATGGAGCAGTTGCCGGGTACACCAATTCCCTACTCGGGCAGCGTTGATGATATAAGAGAACCAAGCAGGTCAGTAGATTCTCTGTGTGCATGCCATTTATTAAATTATATATATATATATATATATATAAATGTTCTTAATTGTTGTCATGCAGCTCCAATACACCCAATAGGCAAATTGAGGAGGATGTTGTACTGAGCCCTGATCAATTACAGAATGACATTGACAAAGTCAAGAAGTTTGTTAGCACCAATTTCCCAAACGCCGTTTTGCAGTGAGTCTCTGGCTAATGCAAATTTGAAATAATTTCTAACCTACTCGTCAAATTTTAGGGAAGAATATCAGGGCATGTTGACTTATTACATTCCATTGCAAGGCATCAAATGGTCGGAAATCTTTGGCCTAATAGAACGCAATCGTAATGATCTAAATCTGGACGATTACTCCATAACTCAGACGACATTGGAAGAGATATTCCTAGAATTCGCTCAGCTACAGACTGAGGATAAACGCAACGCGAAGTGAGCTAGTCACGGACTATATTTTCATTTTTTATCAATTGTTGATAGCGCTTGCTTACATTTGGCCACAGGCTCGTCGACGGCCGATCGTGTACTTAAGCCTCGCTTGAAACAGCTAGCCGCATTTTTAAATCATTTTATTTAAATTGGCCAATTGATATCTTTTTTTTTATATCTTTCTTTTTTTTTGTTTTGTTTGCTAGTCATTAATTAGCAGAAACGTGCTTAAATTAACGACCTGTGCTAATTGCAGTATACGTAGAATTGTATTTTTTTGGCATTTGGTTGCGTATGTAGTCTTTAAGCTACTTAAGTAGTATTTTGTACAAAATCTATCTTGTAAATTTTAATAACATTATTTCCCCCTTTTTCTAAGCAGATCCGGTCGAAATTGTTGTGGTTGCTAAGTATCCAGACTTTCACGACTATATTTACCTAATATACCCCAATGCAGAAACTGCCACCGAAAACTGGGTAGAACTACTGTCGGTGATCCCAAGAGTTTCACATCTTATACGCTAGGTTTACCAAAAAGGATTTTAGTATAGAAACTAACGGACATAAACGGCATTGCCTTGTAAAATTTGTGATTTAAAAGCGAAATTAAAGTTAGAAACCGTGTATATAGGAACAAATAGAAGATCATCACGGTCTCTGGAAAAACACAGTACATTATTTTTTTTTTTTAAATTTTTTTATAACCAAAGACTTGTTAAATTTTGTATAACAATTTTGCGCTTGGTAACTTTTTTAAAATTTAAACCGTGAGTGTAAGCACGATTTATTTTCGGTAGATTAGTTGTACACATCCCATGAATTTATTAAATCAATAAACCAGACATCAATGAAAAACAATAATACATTTTTAATAATTTTAATTTGATTGCCTTTGAATTTAAATTGAATTGAATGGCATCTTTAACAGTAAACAATCAAGTAGAGGAGTGTGTTGTGGAATCGTGCTATGTTATATATGTACATATATTATAGCATTTGTTCGCTATGCTTAAAAAATGTCACATTTTCAAGATTAACTACATATTGGTGTTCCATTGGCAATGTGACATTTTTGAAAAATGTGTTAATACACATTTTTCAAAAAATATGACGTGAACAGTGGAATAAGGCTTTTACTCAAACAAAGCTATTCAAGTAAAGAACAATTCGAGTGCTGGATGACCTGCAATATTCAAGTTAACAAAGAAAAATTGGGAATGGCTAGATGCATTTTATTATGAGCTTGGAGTAAAGGAAACCTATTGTGTTGACTCTACTTAGATTTGTGATAGTTACATAGCTTAGGTGCCAATCTTTAGTGCTGAACGATCGAATAGATCTGTTTGTATGCCCGTGACAATGTTACGAGTGATATAAAAATCCTCAATGTTCAATTCGAATGCGTCCTTGCGTATGATTAAAAATATTTCCGAGAAATTAATGGAATTGCGTGGTATAAAGAATGTCATGGAACTCTCTTGCTGATGCCTGTGGGATTTATTCGAAGGTTTGAGTAACATTTGACGATGTGTGTAGGCATGGCCGGCCACTTACTGTAAGGTCGCCTCCGGGAATTTCACTTGAACGAAGAGAATTAACTTGTTGTGTGGCGAAACGGGAAACTGATTGATGCGATCCCAGGTGCTCCTCGCCGTGCTAATATCGGCATTCGCCTTTCGCTTAAAGTGCACCTCCAGCAAGTAACCGCGACGATAACGCTGCTCCTGGGCGCCCATTGTCCACAGCTGGCCATCATATAGGACTGGAGTGCGCTGGCACATCCGTTCGCAGTCCAAGCCGGAGAGATTAGTGTAAAGAAAGCTAGAGCCCCGATTCTGCATGTAGGCGGTTAGGCTGTAAAGGGTGCGCTTGCCATTGGGATCGATGCCACCCGGAGGCCCATCCACGCATATCAGCAGCGGATCGCCGAGTATGGCCAGCGCAAAGGTGATGCGGCGCACCTGTCCGGTGGTGCATAGGCAAATGAGCTGGTGATAACAGCTTTGAAATCCCAGCAAATGGGACAAGGCATCACAGAGCTGTATGGCAAATTGGGTGGACAGCCCATGCAGCTTTGACTGAATGTAGAGTATCTCGCGAGGTGTGATATCTTTGGGCAGTATCGATAGCTGGGCGCAATATCCCATCAGAGGATAACACTTGGCGCGCTCTAGCTCCATGCTGTAGCCTCCTACCCAGATGCGCCCGTGCGACGGCCGTGTCTCCCCCACCATCATTTTGATCAGTGTCGTCTTGCCGGTATTGTTGTAGCCCATGAGACCAACGCATTCGGACCTGTAGAGACGACGCGATTACCAGTTTTGAATATGCTAGAGCTCAAATGCTGCGCAACTTACTTGGATATGCAAAGATCTATGCGTATCAGTATCGACTTATTGCCATAGCTTTTGCCAATGCCCTGGCATACGGCTGCAAGCTCTGTCCGTTCCTGCTCGGTCAGCTTCTCAACGCGCAGCCGTTCGGCAATGACAGACTCGTCCACCATATAGGTACCCATGCCCTCATGGCGCGCCTGATGATCCTGCTTCTCACTCCAAATGCACTTCTTCGGTATTGCCCGGTGCAGGCACGAGCATGCCATTAGCGTGTACTGTTCTCCCACTAGGAAGAGTGCTAATGGCACCATTATTGCGCAGAGCAACATGAATACGTCAAAGATAACGCCATAGTTACCCCTCCAGTAATCGTACGAGACTGTGGACGCAGGTAAATTAACAAATTTTGTAATTTGATTTATCTATAAGTCAGAATGTTGATAATTTTTAATTTTTTTTTTCAGGTAATCAGTAATTGTAGAATTGTACGTCCATTCGTCCGTTCTTCTGCCTGTCTCTATGCAAACTAATAAATCGAATCAATATGTCAAACCGCCAACACTCGCGTGTCGATCAGTTAACAATATAAATCTTGCCTTTCCATAGATATGGACCACAACGCACAAATCGCATAAATATTCTTTGAACATATCTGCGAAATCGTTTCAAACCGGACTGCTATATGTTCCCATAGGAAGAATCGGTCAGAAGCAAAGCATCTGCCTAATATGCCTCTTGTTGCTTATTTATTAAATTAAAAAACGAAAAATTATAAGTGAAGCTCGTAAATGCTGATGAAAATATCTAGGAACACAGAATATAAGAATCTACATTTCGACCGATCTTTCCTAGGGCAAGCAATATGATATACGCTGTTTTTTAAGATTTTGCTTATATAGGAGGTCCATAGTGGAAATAATAAATTCCGAGTATGGTCAAGAGTTTCATACAAGAATCTACTTTTCGACGAATCGTTCCTATAGCAGTTATATAATATAGTGGTCCGGTCCGGCCGATTCCGACTGCCTGCAACAGAAAGACGGACCTATGCAAAGTTTCAAGACGATAATTTTCTTACTTTTCTTAAAACTGCATAGAAACATACAGACGCACAGGACTATATCAACTCGACTGTTGATGCTGATCTAGAATATATATACTTGATGGGATCAGAGATGTGTTCTTCTATGCGCTGCACACTTCACATCGGCATTAACTATTTTCGTTGTGCTTCTTAAAAAAAGGTTCGGTCCGCTAGGGTATTAAATCTTCGGCGTGCCGAAGATAGACCATCTTTCTCGTTACATATATATGGCATATGGCTGGATACTTAACTGCAACAGTTTGGAATAATACTACACTTCTCGACCTTGGACGAGACGAATTGGATATTTTCATCTTTGCAGAGCCAATGGTACTCGTACAGAAATAACAGCTTGAACACGATCTCACTGAAGGTATATTGGGGTAAAAGCTGGAACGCATCGTTCATATCGGTCAGTCTATCGCCGACAGTTAACGTGAAAATGATTATTCCGATGCTGTTTATAAAAGAAACGGCGATAAATGCATTGTTTGGGTCCTTGCAAATGCTGGTGAGAACGTAGGATAATGTTATGACAGAGAAACCATTCATAATCAGCGCAAAGAAAATCCAGACTGCGGAAAGAATGCCTAAAATGAGCAACTGCATAATGATAGTCGAATTTAATCAGTACGCACTATATAGATGGAAGTCGTGTCGCGGACTCAGATAGACAGCTATCATCATTATCATGAAAACGCTCATCAGCACCACCCGTATGGCATCGAAGAGGGACAAGCAGAAGCAGTATATGGAAAGTCGCACACCTGTGAGAAACTGTTGCTTCTTGAAGGACTTCTCGAATATGCTGGCAATGGCAATGCCCTCCCACAAGTTGCTGAATATAAAAGAGAAGTTGATGGCCATCATGCCGCCTAGGCTAAGCGGCGTCTGTGGCAGCGTGTTGACATGTGCCTTAAATGGCAGCGGTTGCAGGGTTACATCGATGGAAGACTCCTCGTTGACAAAGCGTCTACAGTTGATAAGACCAGGTAATTAATATATTTTTATTATATTTATATTTTATTATCTATTTTATATATAATAGCAGGTTTTACTCGGCTTGTGCCGAGTCAAGTGTTTGGTTTTAAATTTGGACTCAAATTTTTCACCCATTTCCCATTCGCGTGAAATTCAAATCCACCCGTGCAACTTTTAACACAATGTCAATTTTAAAATGCGTTTTAGGCAAACAATTTAAATTTCTCTAGAAAACAAACATTTGCAACCAGAAGGGTTGGATTGGATCCGAAAAGCGAGAAACACGCTTCCGCAAATTTTTGAAAATGATTTTGCAGTCGATCGGTTTGTTAACAAAAATTAGATTGTCAGACTAGTCTCTCTAAAGTTATCCGTTACAAGAAAGCGTTTCATACGATTTTGGCCGGGGTATACAAAAAATGAAAAATTCTCAATTTGTGTAAAATATGCGACAGTCCACGGACTACATTTGATGTGTCTGGCTGTAAAAAGCTTCGATCCTTATCGATTTCATGGAAATGGGGCAACTTGGTCTGTTCATCAGTCAAGGTCTTACCGTGCAATCACATTGTGCACCAAATTGAGGCCATATGGAGCAGCATGAAGTGGTATATTGTTGAACCAGACCGTTATCAAGTCCTGGCCAAAAGAAGCGCCGAACATGTAGCGAAAGTTGACAACCTTGTTGAATTCGCTTTGCTGCAGCAGATAGAAGTCCGAGATTTCCGCGGTCTCCAGTACTTTAACATGACCGTCGTACCAGAAGAGCAGCTCCGAGAAGAACTCCTGCATCTCGAGCACATCCAAGCTATCAGACATGATCTCCACGAATGCGTCTATAGAGTGCAGCTGCGTTAAATTGAAGGAAATCGGTATCAGCTGATAGTTCTTGCCGTAAAGCAACACCGCGGAAAATGTGCAAGCCGTGGCCACCAGCAGGGCTAACAGATAGATGACTTTCACGGGAATTTGACGCTTGTTGAGTACCCAGCGCATATAGAACAGGGCTTGGACATGCATCTGAGCTAGCTTGCGTCCTTTGGCACGCTCATTGCTGTCGGCGTCTTCGAGGACCGAATTCAGGTCTTCGATCAATAAGTTTGGCTCACCGCTGACATCACCTTCCTCGGAACCAAAACGCATAAAGATCTCATCCAAGGATGTGTCGCGCAGGCGAAAACTGATTATGTCCAGGTTCGCCATCTCCTCCTCTAGAGCGTCGAACAGGCTGGGGAATCTATCCTCGTACTTTGTCTCTAGCACGAACGTTATTTTAAAGCCAATATCGCTTTCTATTGTCAGATTTGGCAGATATTTGGCCAATAGGTTTCGAAGCTCTGCTAAATCAAAGGCTTTACCTTTGATACAGGTCTAAATAAGTTGGACAAAAATAGGTTTCAATTTACTTCGATTGCTGAAAAGATCTGGCCAAGGGACTCTTCTCATCTAACTGCAAGCGAATTACAAGGAACTGAACAAACAACAGACAAGGGAGGATGGGAGCCACAAGTGAGAGAATTCATCAGGAATTTCGTTAGATTACTTTTGATACAGGTCTAAGCAAGTTGGACAAGTTTAATTAGATTGATAAAAGTGATCTCAGCGGCCGGTATTGCTGGCAAATAGTTGGCAGCTGATCTGCCAAGAGAGGCGTCGTTAAATAACGCTGAGGATCTTTCCAAATAAAAATAAATAAATCTGCAAGAGAATAACAAGGAATCGAACAAAGCAGACAACGGCGGATGTAAGCTGAATCGGGAAGGACGTGTCAACCAGTTACGCGTTGACTATGAGAAAACCTATTAAGAGTATCATCGGATTACCATCCCAAGTTACAAGCTCCTAGCGGACGTCGAGATTCAATGACACTCGCAAAGTCAACCCTGCATCGGAAGCTACTCCTGCAACCTTACTTAATCCAAGATGGCTATATCAAGTGGAACAATCCGTGGTTGTAGATACATTGCTAGACTAAGATTGGATAGTTGTAGGTTAATCTTACCAGACGGAAACCATGGCCGTACATGTTGCGCAGAAAGGGTTTGCTGCCGGTGCACTTCAGTTCACCATTGGACATGATCGCCAGACGGTCGGCCAAGTGGCTCGCCAGAGATGTTGAGTTGGATACCAAAAGGATGGTGCGCTTGGATTTCTCCTCATTGATAAGGTTGCAGACGAGCGCTTGTGTGGCCAAATCCAGATCGGAGTGAATATCGTCGATAAGTATGACAGGACTGCCTCCGGCAAAGGCGCATATAATGCTGAGAAGATTACGTTCCTGGCTGCTCAGACTTTTCACCTTGGTGTGCTTAACATGTGTCAAGTGGAGGAGCTGAGTGTACGTCTCGATCTCTTCACTGGCATCCTTCCATGACGTACCTTTCACCATGCATATGAACCGGATCTGATCGGCGACGCTTAGGTCCGGCAAGAGCAGATCGTCACTTAGCGCCAGGCCAAGTTGCATTGAGGCATCGTGGCGTTCGGTTTGTATATTATAATCAGACACCATGACCACGCCACGGGTGGGCTCCACCAGGCCGGCGAGTACCTTAAGCAGCGTCGTCTTGCCACACCCATTGTGGCCCATCAGGATTGTTACCTCGTTCTCGTACACATTCCACGTGAATGAGTTTAGGGCACCGCGAGTGTTGTTTGAATAGCGTTTGCATAATTTCTTAATCTTGATCTTGAAACGGCGATGCGATGGCTCTACCTCGTAGATTTTGGTCGCCTTGACTCCAACCGGCTGTGAGCCCTGCGGCATGAAGCTGTCGTCGCGTTCCTGAAATGTGAAGTCGCCGCTGTGGGCGGGCGCAGGCATATGCTTGCGCCGCCCACCACCCGTTTCCCCGGTGTTCCACACATCCATGTACAATCCAATGGCGCAATAAACGAGCGTTGTTATCAAAAATATACATGCGCCCTGGTGGACATTAATCCGGTCGGCATTATAATTTAAAGAATATCCCATGTCCATCCATTTCGTGTCACGAAACACCTCACGCTCCAAGAGGCTCTCGCATATCAGCGCGAGTACAGTGTTCGGCAACGCGCAAGCTATGTAACGTATTACCAACACAGCCTTCTCCCGATTGTTCCACAGCACAAAGAATGGCATATAGGTCAGCAGCCAGAGCAAGGTCGCCACCCGCAAGGCAAACGCGGTGTTCTTAAAGAAGGAGGCCACCAACAGGCAAAAGCTTGTGGCTGCCACATTATACGAGCACAGCACTAGCAATATTATATACCATGGAGTTTGAGTCAACAAGGATTGATTGCCTTTCCAAGGCACCTGCTTCATAGAAGGGGCCAGCATTAATATTGTAAGTTTGAAACAAGTGGGAATGCTTGAATAATAGATACCCAGAACGACCAAGCATGCAATCGTTCAGTTAACAACAAGTGATTAACCTCTTTCGTGTTAGCGCCCCAGCAGCGTTTTCTCTCATTCTGTATGCCCTGCGAGAGTTCTTTTGTTGAGAGTGTAGGCCGAACGCCAAACGCCGAGTCTCGAAAGCCGAACGATCGCTCTATGCATACGACAGCCGAAGTGACATTCTCTCTCTCTCTCTCGCAGGGAATACACAAATGAGAGCAAACGCTGCTGGGGCGTTAAGCTTCCAAGCAAACTGTCAACCACTTTTTCACAATTTGACGAGTCTGTGTATTGCATCCTTAGGGCTCATGTTGGCACCAAGCTTCTTTTTTCTATACATGCATGCAACGCTAACACAAACGCATGTCTCTTGTTTCGGACTCCAGAGATGAATGAACGCTTATAATGCAAGTTTTCCTTGAGATTTTGACGTGTGTCCAATATTGAGATGCAGTTTAGTGTGAATTATCTTTATAACCTCGTTAAGAGTATGCTAATAGGAGATAGAAGATGGAGATCTAGACTAAACTCGGCAAGGGTATTAAATCTTCTACTATCTCTCAAGTAACCAGCTGAACTACTAAGGGAAAGCGAAGACGCCTCATATAAAAGCGAGCTTGAGTCAAGTTGACAATTAATTAAGAGTAACACGATTAGCTGATATTATTGGGGTAACGCACCTTGATGATTACGGTTATAAGCAGCGAGCTGATGAGCATATAGACGAGACCCTTAAAGAACCAGGCTGCGAAGTGTATAATGTTGCCAATGTTCATGTTGATCAGATACAGACGCATCTGGCGTTGCTTTTGTTGAACGATTTGCTGTATAAATAGATAAATGTCTATTTTTATATATATGTTAATCGAGTATACGAATGTGGTGCCTACCCAGACTAGTATCTGTGCCGGAAACATAAAGCCAACGATAATGAGCAGAGGTAGCCCGCGATTTATGTAGTGCATTAGCGGATCTTGAATGCGTCCGTCGACCGGAAATCTTCGCAGCACTATCTTGGGTATGCCCGCCTTGGGTTTGCTCACCATCGTCAGATATGTCTCGGAAATGGCTTTCTGGATGTTAATGAAGCCCTCGCGGACGTAGCCCAAACGACCATCAATGCTGCCTTCATTGAGGCGTCGCACTATAGATGTCTTTGGATCGTCTTGGTAGATTGTCTTCCAGTTATCTCCAATGAAGCTGGCACTGAACATGCGCAGCTCACTGGGAAAAACGATTGTGTAGTTAAAGTGCGGCAGGACGGCCTCGTCCAAATGATTATCAGTCACTTCATGGTTCGATTCAATTTGGCCCCGTTCAAAGCAAACGCCAGCAAACAGAAACTCATTTGATATTGCCTTCCTCATGTGAGAGCATTCGCTGAAGTTGCGCAATTCCATCGATTTCAGCTCTTGCAAAGACAGCTCCATGATCTTCCCAAATAAGCTTATATCGCTGGGCGCCCAGGCCAGCACCAGCTGCGGCATGAACACATTACTGCTCTTATTTAGCTGCTTACCCAGCTGCTGGCGCTCCTGCAGTGTACTGATCAGATCCGCCCAGCTCTGGGTTAGATCGACCGGAGCATAATAGCTGTTATAACGCTCGTTCAAGGTTATGCCCATGCGCATGCCCACCGCAATGCAGCATAGCAAAAAGGGGGCGAATATCAGCCAGAGCAGCTCCGCAGGGCGGTTCCATTGGGCCTTATGCAGCTTCCATGTCATCAATAGAAACTTGTCTATGTAGTGTCGGATGCTCATGTTGATTGTATTTGCTCTTTAAATGGAATGGCCTTCTGCGTCAGTAAATCAATTTGAATTCAGCCTAATGTCACTTCGTAAATGCCTACACAATAATAAAAACCTTTACGCAATAATATTTCCCAATTTGTTTACCTTTGCCCAATCCCGTTATTTCAAAAGAACTAACGCCTTAAGCGCCTAGTTACGTTAGGAGAAATGCGTTCTTCTTGGGAGTAATGGGAAAAGTTATTTGAAATACGAAATATTCTTAATCTGTATAATTTACACAATTTCATGTACCTTATGCTTACGACTTTCGAGCTGTTATAATAATACCATTTTTAATCGATATTTATCGATGAAATGATGAACATAAATTACATGAATTTGCTCAAAAGCATGATTTCGATATCGATTTTATCGATTACTTGGAAACGAGGCAAGTTATCGATTATCGGAACTAAGCTCTAGGATTACTTACGTAAAAATTTCAAGTTTCATACGGACGGACAGACAAGATCAAGAATATATATAGTTTATGGGGTCGGAGATGTCTCCTTCAATGTGTACAAGGGTATACCCTTTGCAAGGGTATACAAAAAAACTAATTTAAATGAATATGTTGTACAAATATTTATTTATTATATTATATAATTGAATGAACTGGGGCTCAATGAGGTTCGAACCTAAACCTGACTTCATACGATGGTTCACGAGTCTAGTCATAAGGCGAACCGTGAACTGAACCATGGCAAATTTGTGTTTGACATGCATTCGTAAATGATATAAACGAATCGATCTGTGCAAGTAATAGAACTAGATTTGGAAAAATGTATCTAACACAAGGCGAATAGTTGCTTGTTTAATATTTATATTGGTAGCTTGTACATATGCAATTATGTAGGGCATTTGTCAGTCGGCATCTATTTAGATTTGGCAAATGGAACTAGTCTTTTCTTTTTCTACTCGCCGCCTCTTTTCACATTCAATTGCATTTATTGACCGAAGAAATATTTTATTACTTTACGCTTGGCAAATATTTGTGTCCAAATGATATCAACATGGATATCTCTATGTGTTTGTTTGTTTGTATGTGTGTGTGTGTGTGTGTGTGTGTGTGTGTGTGTGTGTGTGTGTGTGTGTGTGTGTGTGTGTGTGTGTGTGTGTGTGTGTGTAAATACGGCTGGATGCTTGTCTTTGTGCTTATTGGCCCACAACTCGAAATGAGAGCTGCCAGATATATAGACATACATACATGTATGTAAGTTGATTCAAGCGCCATGTGAGTAGCCTACAATTGGGTGATTTGGCTTTGGGTGGGGGGAAGGGGCTAGGGGTGAGTGGGCGTCAGGCTGTCTTTCTTTGGCGGTTTTTGACATGAACGCAGCGGATAATACGAGAGAGGAGAGACGACCTCCAGTGCACCCACGTCTCTACTTTATGCCGATCTGTCTGATTGCATGACCGCGGGGCTAGCTGATATATCCAGGCCACTTTGATTTGTCGGCTTAAGCTTTTACAACAAAAAGACTCTCTGTCTCTCTATTTTTTTCATCTTCTTGCTCTCTCTGTTCGTTTTTTGCTGTTGTTGTTGTTGTATGCGCTCCACGAACTTTGGCAAATATTTTGGTCATTGCTGAGATTTGCGTGCCTTCAATGGTTTTGTTTGTTCTGCTGCCCACAAATGATGACTGAAGCGTGACTCTCTCTCTGTGCCTGTGTGTGTGTGTGTGTGTGTGTGAGTGTGCGGCTATGAATGTGGGTAATTCGGTCATGAATATGCGAGCAATTTTTCCCATTGTATACCATACAATGTCCGAGTATTTGGGTGTGCGCATACATATTTGTCGCAAATAGACTACATTACATTACTGCGACAGTTATCTCTTGATGTATGCACGAATACATACAAATATAGTAGAATTATAGGCAAAGAAAAAGTCGCATAAAAAGCACGAAAACATATGCCCATTCTACACAGCATTGACAGAAACAAACAGAAAATGTAGTCGACCAGGCAGTTACCACTTAGACATATTAGAAACTATTTGACTAGGACAAACTAGTTCTTCGCATTTCAGACATCAGCTTTCCACCTGATAAGAGTGTGCAGCTAATCGGGTGGAATGCAAAGAATACCTTTCATTATTTAAAATTGTAGTGAACTAAAACTGATTATGAAGTCGATTTTCGGACAACATTTTCAATGAATTATTGCATAGATATTGATCTTAATTCATTTAAAGTAATTCCTTTGAAAATTTAATGTAGAATACTGGAAAATTCAACTTTGTTTGGGCTACAGTTTGATCACCAATCAGTCTATAAGGCAGTCAGGCAATGAATTAGTCAATCCGTCAGAGTGGCAATCAGTCAGTCAATCAAGCCAATCAATCAATCAGTCGGTTATGCGATCAGTCAATCAGTCGAGCTGATGGTCACCCAGTAATTTAGTTAATCTGTCGGGCAATCAATTAGGCAACCAGTCAGTTGATCAGTCAGTCAATCGACCAGTCAGGTAATCAATCAGTCAAATAGTCAGTCAGTCAATCTGTCATGACAAACAATCTGAAATATATGTATATGTAAATAGCTAGACTATTAGTAAAATTCATTCTTGTATGTCTAACAGCCTGTAAGCTCCATCAGTGCATACAGCTATATATGTATGTAATACAGCTATACATTCGCACATCCAGCCTCTCAACAAGACTTGCGCTTACAGGGTATTGTAAAGGCCGCATATAAAATTTAATGGCAACGAAAACTAAAAAAAAAAGACAAGCAAAATAATGCCCATGAGAGTATGATTAAAATTAAATATGTTGCACATGTTGAACTTGAAAATTGTGGTGATGGCAACAGCTTTTGAATGAACGCAGTCTAAATTGGAGAGCGAAGGAGAAAGACAAAGCGACAGAGAGAGAGAGAGAAAGAGAGAGAAGTAGAGAGAGGGAGAGAGAGCGAGAGAGATAGGGCGAGAGAGAGAGAGAGAGAGAGAGAGAGAGAGAGAAAGAGAGAGAGAGAGAGAGAGAGAGAGAGAACGAGAGAGGGAGACGGAGAGAGAGGGAGATAGAGAGAGATAGAGAGACTTCAACTTTTTCTGGTTTCAGGGTATTAATAAAAAAACAAGTAAGAGGTTCTAGTCGGGAGCTCCCGACTAGGGGATACCCTGAACCCTCTTCTTCCAACACCAAATGCAAATATATATACTATCCTAGAAGCAACCTGTCAAGTTTAATGACTCTAGCTCTTATTATTTACCCAATTTGCTCAAAAAACAGGATTTCGATATAGATTTATCGATCACTTGGAAACGGAATAAGTTATCGATTATCGGAAGCAAAATCGATCTGCGCGGGAACTAGGAGCACATACATCTAATTTCAAGTCTATAGGTTCTGAGATCCTTGCGTTCGTACATACGGACGGACGGACGGACGGACAGACAGACGGACATGGCTAGATCGACTCGGCTATTGATGCTGATCAGGAATATATATACTTTATGGGGTCGGAGATGCTTCCTTCTGCCGTGTTACATACATTTGGATTTTGCACAAATACACTATACCCTTATACCCATTTTTAATGGGTTCAGGGTATAAAAAGCGTTAAATGAAATGGTCGATTGATTCACCAAAACATACCCAATACAGAGCAAAGCCACATGCGAGTCCTACGTCCTTATGAGTATGCAGAACACGGTACCACGCGGTTATTCAAGAGGTGCAGCGGGAGGTTCACTTCATTGGGATTGCTTGAATGAAGCGCGCCGAGCCGGTTGTGCGTAGGTGATTTGATGATGGCTATATTAGTTTTGATGAAGGGCTTGTAATTGTTCAGAAAATTATGCATATTGCGTTATTAATTTGTCAAAAATTTCGTAAATCAATGTATATGCATATTTTAAGAATTTCTAAGAGAATTTCAAACTATAATGAGACGATTTTTTCAAATAATAAACATAAGCATAGGCACATGTAACAGGAAATTGGCAAGTCTCATTAATATAATATAATGGAAAGAGTTATTCATACATATATTCAAATATGATTTTATTTTCGCATCTTAATCCAGCTTCCGTGCTTGTTTTTCTAATCATATCAGCACACTACGCATTTGGCTATACTAATGGAGTATATGTACAGTAGGGGACAAAATAATCCGAACAAGAAAACACTTTATTATGTTAAAATTCAGAAAATTTAATGTTTGATTACGTGTGCATGCAGAAACTATATTTGGATTTCCTCAAAAGGCCTTGAACCGATCCTTGACACGCTTAAGAATGAAGTTCTTCCTTCTAACTGACTTTTGACCTAATTGACACGTACACATACATATTTGTTTCAAAGAACTCCAAGCAATAAATTCTGTTCTGACCGCATTTTCGGTACATTTTTTTCGGTGCCAAGCCTAATTTTAGCAGTAAATTGTATCGAATGTCTTTACCTATATATGTTATATAACCTAAAAGTACACCCTTTTATAATTTAATAAATATGTCGATCATTCTCCGTCTTAGAATGTGCAAAAGTGGTTGTCCGGGTTTTTCGTACGCCTCTACACATACATACATATGCATATACATATGTACATGCATACATACATATATAGAGTAGTACATGCTCGAGTGTGTATAGCCTTATGCATATGTATATGTGGGGAGAGAATGAGCTTATCTTATAATTACCGTGCATCTTTAGCGAACAGATAAGAAAGCCAGCAAAACTATGCCAAGTACAAAACGGGTCTCAAATATTTGAGTTATTTGAAAGTACATTGAAAGTATTGTAAGTCCAACTGTAGGGCAGCGGTTCAGGTGTAAGACCGTTAGTTGCTGCGCCTGCTGTTGCTGCTGCTGCTGCTACTGCAAAAAAAAAACAAAAAAAACAATCAAACAAACACTGAACAGCTGCTTGCTTGGCATTGAAAACGTCACCGAGCGACAGAGCACGTTAGAGAGCAAGAAGGAGAGCAAGAGTTTGGCGAAGCGAGCGAGGGAGGAGGAAGATTGTTGGGGCAGGCTGTCATTGCGGCATTCGTGTTTCCAGCACACGAGCAGCGCACGAAGCACGACAAGGCGCACACGAGCAAAACGAGCGCCGAAGACGATGGCGACCGGTTTTGGGGCCGCTGGCAGTCAGTGGCTCTGTCTGGCGCCTCAGTGCGAAGCGAAGCATCGAAAGTGTCAGGTGTCTAGCGGAATTTACGTTCGTTTTTCTCTCCCGTATATTTGGCGCATATTTTGACGTACGTTGCGAACTGCGCTGATTTCTTTAAAAACAAAATAATAGAAAAACAAAACAATAATAATAATAATAAAAACAGACACTAAATAAAGAAAGTACGAATTTGTTCGCGATTGTCGGCAAGATTTTTTGTTTAATGAAGTTTCTTGTGCATTTTTTTCATCACATTTTTTTTTGAATTGTGTGTTATTAATCATCTTCCAGCTAAAGTGCCAAGTTTCCGCAAATAGAAAATAAATAGAAAAAAAAAAACAAATTAAAATACAAAAGTATACATTGTTGTTGTTGTTGTTGTTGTTTTCTCGCTGAATTTATAAATTGTATTTACATATTTCTATCTAGTAAATTTTCCCATTTTATTTGACTTTGAACTTGAGCGTGCGTTAGACAAGGACGGCGACGCGAGAGACACGAGCAGCATCCGTTCCGATCGGCATTGATAATAATAATGATATCGTGGTCTTTGCCATTTTTTTTTTATTATTATTTTTTTTTTGATAGCCGCCTAATTAGCAATTTATGAATTGCACTTTTGTTGTTTAGCTGATTTCATTGACTGATTTCAAGTTGCAATAACAAAAAGCTCAAAAACAAACGAATAATTGACAAATAGTTGTAGTTGAGAAACAACTGCGAACTTTGCTGACGCATGCAAAAGTTTTGTGCCCGGAACTCTCGTAATTTGCGCCAAGTATAATATGTATTGAAAACAATTTGTTGTGAATCGTCGCATGATAACCTTCTGAGATCATTGTTTCGATCAGAATTCAAAAGAAAAGTTGAATGTTTTTTTTTCAAAAATCAGCTCGAGAGGTGTTAAATATGTATGCATGTGAGCGCATTAATTAACAGAAGCATACTAAAATCAAGTTTGCTGACAGTTAAATGTTCTTGTCAACTATTGAATGCTATAAATTATATGTTCGATATTCGAATTCGAAAATTCGAGTACAGCTGTCCGCGATGCGCTTCAACTGATTTCGTTTCCCACTCAGCTCAGCCAAGTCAAGCTTGGGGCGCTCTCTTTGGCTCTCTCGTTGAGTTGCGATCAGGCAGTAATAAGCCGTTTATTGCGGTTCTCTCACTTCGCTCTCGTACGGTAATTTGAGTAACACCCCATTGTTAATAATGCTTAGTCTAACGCCTCAAGTGGAGAATCGTCTAGTTCGACGAACTATAAACATTAAATAACAATAATAAACAACAAAAACAACAACAATAATAATATCAGTAAGTTGAAGCTGTTGTCTAAGTGTCTGTGCTTTGTCAAGCCACATCAAATATAATACAATAGAAAACATATACAAGCAATAAAAGCAACAACAACAGCAACAACAGCAACAATCACATCAAAATTGTTGGCTCCAAAACACGCAACAGTCCGTCAGCCTAGGCGCTGTCTTCATCGCGTGCGCCCTTCCCCCCATCCGTCGCATCCGTCGTATCCGTCCCATCCGCTTCACCGCTCCTCAGCCAGCGGCTAGCAGTTCCGGCCGGTTCCAGTTCCAGTTCCTATCCACAGCAGGACCCAACCCAGACTTCAAACAGTGCGCGCCGTGCGGTCGACTTTGCCTCAATAGACATACTTACTTCTGGCATACTCTGCAAACATATTGCACTTACATAGTTGTATATCTATAACAAAATTTGTTGTTGCTGTTGTTGTTGTTGTTTTTACCACTACCTATTTTTTTCTTTTTTTTTGTTTCCCATGTTATTATATATATATTTTTTTTAACCGCCACCGCTGTGCGCCGCTGTTCCCGATCCCGTACCACAACGTCGCGACCGTGCTGTTTTGCTTGCAACCGGAGAGTAGGTCAGGTCAGTGTGTATTACTTTACCAACTATTTAGCTATACCATGGTGGCATTATTCGCATTATTATAAGTATTATAGTCTACCGTACTTCCCATACTCTTTTTCGACATACTATTGCCGTTACATGCAGAACATATTGGCTTAACAACTTTTGTTTTGCATTCGTTGTTAAAGTTCACATTGTTGTGGTTCATATTTATGGACATTTGGGTTTCAGTCGTTCTTTCGGCTGTTCGGTTGGTTCAGTAAGTGCCGTTATGAATAATGTACTCCCAAATAGATAATCAAGAGATAGTCACATTTCTAGCTATATTTCTTTGCTAGTTGAGCTCTTGACGGTGCTTTCTTTCACATTTCTTCTAGCTTTACGAATTCGTCACACATCTGTTTTTCGACTACTTGACTCACACATACACATACACATACACATACATGTGTATACATATATACATATGCATACAGACACAACATGTTTCTCTTTTTGACAATTCTTTCGTAGTATTTCATATTTCGATGCCGTTTGTCATTTTTTTTATTTCCAAATTTGACATGGACATCTTTTTTTTCATATGCCCATTTGATATTGGTAAAAAACGGGTATACTCGTTTTGTGCAAATGTATGTAACAGTCAGAAAGAGGCTTCTCAAAGGACTTCTCGGACTCGCATTTACTTCCATGGATCTTAAAGAAAATTCATTTGAAGCGAGTTTCACACATTTCGTAAATCCACCCAGGAGGAGCGGATTCGGATAATAGCTATTTTGGGGCGTACTTTTCAGCTGTTTCCCGATCGGCTTCAAACATATTTTTTGGCCCTTAAAATAAGTCGTAAAAATCTCAAAACTGCGCTTAAAATATCCAATATCCTACATAATAAGAACTTCATAATTATGCGTCTCAGCGATTTTGAAAATTAAATCCGCAACTGTCGAAATTGGGCGTAAAATATGAATTGAGACGTGCGGCTCAACATGGGAAATGGGAAATTGATGTCTGGATGTTAGAAAAAAAACACTTTGACCGGAAAATACCGGGTAATACCCTCTAATAGAGCATAAAGGAATTGAGAGATCTTTTGCCAGGTCTTCTTAAAAAATAGTCTGATCATTAGACGAAAACTGGGTTGAACCGCAAAAAAAAAATGTCGCTGGTTCAGTTCACGCTTGGAACCAATTAGTTCCGGCTCGAAGCCAGATTTGTATGAAACAGTTCAATATAATAATAAAATGTTAGAAATTGTCATTAATACTTGCTTTTAAGAGTATTAAATTTACATAAATTTCACATAAAAAAATGTGCTTTGGCTTAGTATAAAATCGCATAAAATCGGTTTGCAGCCTTGGACAAAATAATACATGGAACGTGTGCTAATTTCTCCGAACCATAACTTTTTGATTCCATGCCTAACACTAAAATGGTGATCTTAAGCTTAAGCAATAGAATAAATTAAATATGATTTATTTATTTGATGTGTCTTTAAATGAAATGACTTGCAAATAAATCTGTTAAACACTTTTATAAAGAGATAATCTAGCCCACAACAGTTGTTACTGAGCCTATCTGACTGTGATCTATGCACAGCCCGGCTAATAATGACTGGGTCACTGATCCTAAGTATAAGGATTAGGTCTTGGACAACAATTGACAACAGACAACTGCACCAAAATCTTCTTTCCATCGAGCTGAAACTCAAAGATACCAGTGCTGTTTATGTCATGTCAACTACGTTTCGTTGATAGTTTGTAACTTAATCCTTCTGGTAGAATAATCAAGTAGAGTGCTCTAATCGGCATTGCCTGATTAGGAGATAGTCTAAGCCCAGCGCCAAGCTGTCGTTACAAATATACCAGCTACTTTATGTACATAGATAGATAGACATACAAATATACACACGAGCACGCGCTCACGCCGCAAGCTGCGCAGTTTATGGAGCGGATGTGATTCTTCTTCTTCCCTCAGATACGTCCTATATATTTATGAAAAATATATTCTTTCGTAACTTCGATGTTTAAAGTCGGATTCTCATGAAATTTTTGGGGCTTGGATTTACCAAAAGCTCTAGCTCTAAAAATGAGTCTTTTCCAATTTCGGGAGGATTGGAATGAAATAGTATCCAGAGAGTGAAATACTCGCGATGCAACTAGTTCCTTAATTTTCCAGTCCTTATCCTGAGAATATATGAACAATGATAAACTGGTTCTGCGTACGATATATGCAGAATATATTTATATTATTCAGATTCCACTGATTTATACTATATAAGTATTAGCTTAAGCCAAACATTATTATTGAAGATTAAAGATACAATACATACATGGAAACAGAGCAGCTCGCGTGGTAATCAACTGGTTTCTAGCCCATGTACTTCACTTGGTTGAAGTCAAGCGATCAATAATCCATCTGCAACTCACCCCGGCCCCTTTACCATATGGAACTAATTTATATGCCATTAAGTGCCATGAGTAGTTTGCCAGATTGGAGAATCGATGTTCGTATTGAAATTCATGGATTACAGAACACGCCCACTTTATGTCTGTGGTGAGAGAGTGGCGTGGATAGATCGGGAAGGGGGGAGCACGCAAATAATTTGCAAGTTGCTTGGGTAAAAGTTGATTTTGTTTATGGGTTTTCAATGGGTGGAAGGGGGGTGGGGAGGGATGGGAACTGTTAACTGTTCTGTTGTGGAGGCGCCACAAAACAAAGAAACTATGCGAAAGTTTGTGACTCAAACAATTAACTCCGATTGAAAGTTATGCGCAACAAGATAATTGTGGCCGATAATTTATTGTGGGCCCAGCAACGCCTCCAGCCATCCATGCGACCACTCGAGTGGCGCCCAAGTGGCTCGACGGGATTTCGCCACGCCGTATTTTAATACTGCCAGTCTAGAAAAATGCCTCAAAGTGCTCCCAAGGCACGGGCCAAGGCTGTCAGAAAGGGGGGGGGGGGGGGGGGGGGGGGGATAACTACTGAGATACAGATACAAATCAGCAGAGCGCAACAAAAACAAAGGTACAAAGCGAACTTTTGGTAACTGCGACTGCAACTGCGACTGTCAAGCCAAATGCAGCCAGACAAAAGGGAGGCGAAAGGAGGCGCAAGGACGCAGGGCAAATGTTTCCAGGCCATGTTGCACGTTTGTTGTCCAGCAGCAGCTTGCATCTAGCCCTGCTCGACTAG